TAAAGGAGCCCTTTATGAGATGTCTTGAAAAAAACCATAAGATTCAGACCTGATTAATTTTAATCTTGTGGCCAATGGTTCTTCTTGGGGAGGTGCTCAAAGAGTGGTGACTGATCAGATACAAACACTCCTTCGTGAAGCAGATTGTTTAGATTCTTGGTTGCCTTGAAGGATGACCTATGTTGATGACACCATGAATTCACCTAATCTATTCTGGAAATACTTTCTGAATTGGGTGGAGCTGCTTTGTGTGAGATCAGGTCCATTCTTTGAAGGTGCTTTTATATCTACCTTTGCCATTAAGTGCATGCAGAAGAGTGCTCCTATAGATGAAGTACTTTTTATTAATATAAACTGATGTACTAACTACATTTATGTTTGAACAGAGATAGGCTTACTACAGGAACTGATGCTTCAGTAGCCTATAATTTTAATGACTGCAAAGTCTTATATATGGGAATTCCTTTGAGGAAGATCTAAAAATTCCATTGAATACAAAATACTGAATGCATTTGGGGAATGCTATGCCAGTTTCTTGTTATCTTTATTGACAGCTAAAGTCAATAATGAGCAGTTCATTATTGGTTCATATGTAGGATGCTATATAGTTACCTGAAGTTTCCAGAGCTATGGATCACAATAGCAGAATGTCTCATCGAGCAACAGTCTGTTTGTATTAAAAGATCATTTTTTGATTAACTTGCTCTAGATCTCTGAGGTGCACAGATACCATAGAGCTTTTTGCTGTTGACCCCTTGATTCTTGAATACTTTCCCCACTGAGTATTTCGCCAAAAATAGCCTTTCCAGCACTCTTGAGAAAATAAAAATGTTTTATTCTCTCAAGAGTATGATTTATTTTTTTTTGCTAATTTTATATTTATGTATATGCTACATAGGACATTTTCACCAAGTTGTCTGCTGCTTTTATTGCTTTTTATTGGGCGTTTTCATTGATATATTTATGGTATGTTTCATTATTATTCAAAAATTATCTGATTTTAATTATTCTAATCCAGCCTTCCTAAACTTGGTTTTAAAAGGTGGTGTAAAAATAAATATAATCTTGAGAAATTGAATAGAATTGGATTTCATCACAATGACATTCTTTGTATATTTGATTTTCAGACAGATGCTCTGACATCACTGTCCCAGGAATGGTGGTTAGAGGTTAGAGTTTGCTGCTTTGCCCTGTCAATCATTGCCATCAGCTTGGGTCCTCTTGATAAAATTTAGTAATACTACTTCTATTTCCCACTATTAATTCCCTTCTCAAATCTAATATTCATATTGTTAACCTTGAAATAAAATTAGATTAATTATGCTACTAAGCATTGAGATTAATACTAAATTATGGGACTGATGTGCATTATAACTCTTTGCATTACAAATTAAGCATGACCTCATATCTGGAGACCCAAGTTAAAATAGGGAATAAACCCAGAGAAACAAAGAACCACACCAAACAGTTCAAGTGTTAATTCTTCTAAAGTGTTTGTCTTGGTTTACCACCCACTCTCAGAGTCTGTTGTGACATGCAACTCATTGCGAGGTCTGTGGCATCAAGGCAGGAGCACAGAAGGGGAGATCAGATGCAGCAGGAAGCAAAAGAAACAGGATGGCTGTGTTCGGTCGCCATAGCAATGGAACCCTCTCCCTTCAAGATGTATTGCTGAGCCCTTCTTTGGAAATAAGTGGTAAAACATTTCTTTATCACCTCTAGCACATCTTCCCAGCATTATCCAGCTGAGCTTTTCCAGATGGTGAGAGGCATGTTGCCATCTGGTCCAGAGAGAAATTGGTGATACCCTTGGTGACTCACTCTGATAAGTTTAGTAGGCACTTAAAAGTTAAAGTCACTCACATCTTGGGATGTGCAAATTGTTAAACATCTTGTCCCCTTCAATGTGTGCATCGGTTGGTAAATTTTCTAATCTGGTAGGTTTTCTGATAGATTGCTTTTTAAAATATATATGGGTTGGAATCATTTACATTAACATTATTTTGTAACCTGTTGTGACCTCATCTTACATCATTTGGCTTAACTTTTTCTAGCAGTTGCACACTTAAACATTGCTCCTCTTGGTTTGTATATATTCCTGATATCCCAGCAACAGTATGGATAACCATAAGCCACTGCCAGTGCTCTGTTGATTTATCCAGAAAGACCACAGCCAACATTACAGAATGCTAAGTGAAGGGGAAGTCACAATTGGTCGAAGAGAGGGAGGGATAGGAGGAGGAAGATACAAACTGAAAAATCCACCCTGGCACAATCAATATCTACAGTCTTAAGTCTGGGCAAATCTTCCCTAATTCAATTTTCATTGGAGGCTGAGATTTGAAGAGGGCATGATTTGATCTGGATGTATGATTTGAGGTCCACATTGTTTTTGGAATTCAATTTGAAAAAAAGATTAATCAATTGGCTATTACAAGAAACTATCAATTATCTGCAACCACTTCATTTTTTTGGCAAAATAATATGAAAACAACAGAGATGGTTGATTCTTTTGTGGGCATTAACCTGCCAAGACTTATTCAAGAGTTTCACTGCAATAAAATATTGGAATTTCTCCGTATACCTGTTTTGAGGCAGAGATTTATTTATTTAACGTGATATACCACTGACTACAAATGTGTCCTGGCAATTTAAAAAAAAACCCACATATATAAAGTATTAAAAATGGCTAAGTAATTGGTAAGAAAAATAAAAACAGCAAATTAATGGTTAAAAGTCATAATTAAAACATTAAAAATAAATAGACTCCTACTGAAAATGATGTGTTCTAAGGATTTTTAAAAAAATGATTAAAACATTAGACCTGAACTTGCAGAGTATACTTTCCAATCTGTTAGGACAGTATCAGAAAAAGCTCACAGTGACTGTCGGCAAATTTCCTCAGATTATCTCATTAAGTGTGAAGGTTCATATAAAAGAGTTTCCACAAATAGCCTGGAGCTAAGCTATGGAGGGCTTTAAGATTAGGGTATATTGTCCAGAAACAAATTGAATCTAATGACAGTTGGAATATGGATTATTTGCATTTTCCTTGAAACCAACTTGAGGCTAACTTTTATACTGAGGCTTTTGGACTAATCACAAAGCAGCACCATGTAGAGTACATTACAACTATCAAGCTAGGAGGTAACCACCAAGTATACCAAGTTATAAAAAACATCTTCTTCCAGAAAGGGACCTACTAAACTAAGAAAAGGTATCTCTGACTAGTCCGTCAATCTGGAAACCAGAGAAAGAATTGGGTCTGGAACAGGTGTGTCAAACTCGATTTCATTGAGAGCCGCATCAGGATTGTGTTTGACCCTGGGGGGCAGGATGGGTGTGGCCAAAGTGGGCATGGGCAACTTGACATCACTCATGTTGGGGGTGCCTGTGATGGCCCAAGCGCTCTGCCAATGAAAAGGGGCTCCTGAGCTCTGTTTTTGGCCATGACGACCTCCTGCAGCCCTCTGCCAGCGAAAGCTCCATTTTCATTGGCAGAGCCACCTCAGGCTGGTCCTTCGCTGTTTCCAGGGTGGCCCTGTGGGCCAGATCTAAGCAGCCCAGATCTAACCCTGCAGGATGGATCCGGCCCCTGGGCCTTGAGTTTGACACCCCTGGTCTAGAACTACCCACAAATTGCATATCTGCTCCTTCTGGAAAACTCTGCATATTTAGAAAAGGCAAAACTACTATTTCTTTGGACTTATGGCTTTTCACAATGAGTACCTTATTCTTGTCTAGATTGTTTTTATTATCCCTCATTCAGTCTATTTCCAACTTGAAGCAAGCATTCAGGTCAACCACAGCATATCCTGAAGATGTCATAGACATAGAGGACTAAATTCAACATACTGGTAGTATTCAGTTCCAGATCTATTGAAGATTTCCTCCAATGATTACGAATAGATATTAAAAATCACTGGAGATAAGACAGAGTTTTGGGGGAAACCAAAGCATAATATCTGCTTTAAGGGTTGACTATCCCTAATGGCAATCTGAAATCGTCCTGAGAAATAGTATCTCTCAGGTAATCCAACCCTGTTTGTATCAAAAGCTGTTGAAAGACCACAAAGCACCAAAAGAATTACACTTGCTTTGTTGATCCCTAGATAAAGAAAATATGTTAGGCCACCAAGTCTATCTTAACCTTGAAGCCTGCTCTGAACTCAGTTTGAAAGGTAATTGCCTTCTTCTAGGACAACTTGCAGCTAAGATGCCCTGTTACATTTCTTTAACCAACCATAGAAGGTTAGAGTAGGTCTATAATTGTCTATTTCAGAGACATACAAGATAAGCTTCTTAAGCAGAGTTTAAATAATTGCTTTTTTTTTAAACAAGGAAGGATTCTCCCTGAGAGAGGCATTTTCAGTACTAAAAGGAGGTCTCTTTCTATAACTTCCCGGCCAGAAGTTATAAGCCAATCTAGGCAAGAATCTAGAGGAAAAATGATGAAAGATACTGTTTCAGGTAGTCAGTTCATGTCTTCTATTATAATGGTTCCAGTTTCAGTTGAGCAAGCCAGCCAGCAAGAACTGTAGGTGAGAGCATTGGGAGGATGAGTGCACAGTAGCCATGGGGTATGTGGGGTGTGTGAGTAGGTGTCATGGGCTGGCACTATGGAGCACAGAGAGGTGGGTGAGCAGGCAGGTGGGTGGGTGAAAAAGGAGCAGTATTGACTTGCAACTTCCTGCCAACCTTCTGCCAGCTTCCCCATTATGGGAAATTGACAGGGAAGATCACAAATGGCAATCACGTGTCCACAGGGACACTGTGACAGCTACAACTTCGCAGAACAACATGTTCCATGGTCATCTTTATTCTGTTTCATTACAATAAATCAAGGTTAGTTAGCCAAACTCATATGTTGTGCAAGTTCAGATTTGTCTTTGGTAAATAAGTATAGTAATATTGTAGTTTTAGAAAATGATTTTATTTTTTTAAAAATACTATATCATAACCATTCCCATCCCTTACATAAAAGAGAGAAAAACACTAAGAAAAGCAAACACATTTCTTTTTATATATTTTTGACAAAATTTCTCAGAACAATCCTGTACATGAATATTTAGAAGTGAATCTTGAGTTTTTACATTAGGAATTTTACATTCAAAAACAGTAGTACTGATGAATATTCAGAATTAAAGCACTAAGGCAGTGTGGCTGAAATATGCAGCTCACTGTGTTCAATGAGATTTCTTCCCAGGTAAGCAAATATCACAACTATAGCAGCAATTTTGGCTCAACAGCACATCCAAGGATGTTAGATCACTATAATCAAATCACTACCATGGTGGCATGTAGGCAACCAGAACATGCTGCAAGGTGGGAGATCGCCTGGTCTTGAGTTTACCTGACCTCAGACATCTTCCATTTTAAAAGCATTAACTAAAATTAACTAAAAGATAGGACCTCAAAGTGTACATATTGAGAAAAATATTGGACAAAACTGCTTAGAAAGAAGAAAAATAATATCATCTTGGTTTAAGAAGCATTTCATTACTGTAAATGAAGCAGTGTATCTTGGAAAAGTTCTATAAGAAAAAAAAAATCAAAATTAGAATTAAGTATGGAGAATTAGCTATTGAGTTCACATAATATTCCTATAACTTGCCCAACCATTCATCCAGCATGTGAGAAGAAATAGAATATTGTCTTAGGTTAATGACTATGAACATGGAAGAGGGCTAGAGGTGCTGGGGTAACATGTGCTCTTCATAAATGGAGAGATTTACAACAGCCTCTCTTCAAAAATGTGTTTAGCTTATCTTTCCTGCAGGAACTCACAAGTGCCCCAAATGTAGAACTTAGAACACCGTATTTTGACTTTTGCTTCTAATCTTGTTTTTATAAATAAAAAGTGAATCTGGTTCATTGTTAAAGTGTAAGCAGAAATGTAAGAGGACAATTTATTTTTTCCCATAAAAAATAATATGCTTATGCTTACTACAATTAATAGCTGCCGCATAATTCACAAAATAATTGTCTCAGAACTACTTAGGACAGATAGGAAAAGAAAGAATCTTCTTCCAAGATTTTCTCACTCTTCAAGATGAAGAGTGGTCTGAATCCAATAGCTCCCCTCTATCTTTGCCTTCCCAGCCATACATGACAAAGACTTCTCCTAGTTTGTCATCGTTTTGGCATGACTGTCTGGTTGAGTGATTTTGCTCTCAAAAATCAGACTGGGACCAAAGCTTTATGGTGATTTAGAATAAGAGCAGAGCAAGTTGAGAGTCATCTGCATCATCCAGAGTAACTTAAAATCAAAATCTCTTTTAAATCAACCTGATCTACCCCAACATTGGGCTTCTGCTACAATGGATGCATGAGCCTAGGGGAGACAGAGTACAGTCAATCCAGACTCCAATGATTTATAACTGTTTTAACATTAAAATTAATGTGCTGAGTTACTGAAGATACAACAAAAGCAGGAAACAAAAAATGACAAACCTTTCAAACCTTAGCTCTTTCTACAACAGAACATGTCAGTTAACTCACAAAAGTTAATTAAAGCAGCAATCTCTACCATTGTTGATGCTGCCTACTTTCTCTCTTTCTCATTTTCTTTGCAGCATCTGCCCTTTTTTTGCCAACATTCCAACTAGTTGAATCCATTTTCTCCTTTTCATACCCTCCTTCATTCTGGGCCTCTCCCTACATTATTCCAACACCCAAGTGCCTTTTAGGAGCGTTTATTAATATTTATTAAATTTATAAATTATCCAGGAACTATGCTATAACATTTTAAAAAGATGAAATAATAAAGGCAATATATAAGACCCAATTCTTTATTTCCCAATTCTACATCCCACATCCTAAAATCTAAAAAGTAAGGGCAATCTAGGAGCAAAATAGAGACATATTGAATGGAATGGAACAAATAATTCCAAAATAAATCCTGAGCTTTCCCTTGTTTTTCTAGTCCTTCTTCCACCGTGTAATGATTTATAATCTAGATATAAGAACTTTCTCTCTACATCATCTGAAAATGCTAATAAACCAAACAGCACAAGTTATGTAACGTAGTTGGGAGTTTTAAAAAAAGTAATTAGTGTATCTTTTTAAATGCTAAGCCTTTGAAAGTTCAGTCAGAAATTTAGTGGGGAAAGAAGGAAAACACCAAAGAGATGCAACTGATTAGCAATTAACAGTTGCAGTAAGCAAGTTTCTTCTTCAGAGCCACATGCAAATTTCAAGCCAATTTCTCTTGTGACTGCATTACATAGAGTACTTAAAATATTTTTCTATTCTGGCTTGTTGATAAATAAATATTTTACATGTATTGTACTTTTTTCATATAAGATTCAGTATTCTTAATCTTATTTTCTTATTCTTAATCTTAATTTCTTATTAAGAAATTTCAGAACTTCATTCAAACTTGTTATTTTATTTAGTTTGTTTGATTTGTTTTTACAAAATGTCAAGATCAGGATAATACAGATGAATGTACATAATGTAAAGACAGAAATGTGACCCACCCTAGAATATGACAGATGACAGTCATCCTCATCAAGGGATCACTTCTACCACTGAGAAAGATAGCAAGCATCTAGAAAAGAAAGGTGGCTAAGAAAAGAAAAAGATGAAAAACTACATACAATGAATCCACTCATTAAAACTAATTCAATTCTTAAAGCAGTGGTACGTTTTTAAAAGATACATGTGGAAACATAAAAAAAGTTGGGGTCCTTTAATAAGTTGAGCTCTGCTTGTACTATTCCTGAACCCTTCCAAAGCATTTTCAAACTGGGACAAAAATCATATGGTTGAGCCCATGAAAACCATTTGCAACCCCAGATAACTGCAGATACATACATATAAGGCAGAAAGCCAAACTGGATATAATTACCTGATTGTCTGGCAGAAACAGAGCATTCCAAGTAAATGTCTTTCTTTCTAAGTAGTAGAAAAATGTCATACACCCCCCCCCCCCCCACAGATAGACAATTCTACCCTAAACATCTAAACCCAGAAATCTTTGAGCAAATATACTCATGCTGGTCTGTGTGGAAAAAAATGTTATCAAAATTAGGCAAGTGCGGCATTGAAAGCAACTATTTTGTGTATACTGTGAGCTGTTTTGGAGAATTTCAAACGTTGTGATATTTTAACCAGCCTTTACATGGGAACTGGATTACTTAGTGTAGATGAATCATAGTTCCTCAAAATAATCTCTTGGAATATTCCCTCAAAGGAACCATTACTTAGTTACTAATTTACTGACTGACTGACTGACTGACTTACTTACTTACTTCTTTACTTACTATGGTGGCCTCATGTCAAAACGCTATGGTAATGACTTTGAAAATATTTTTACTTTAGAAATAAATCTCTCCAGGCTTGCAAATTGCAAGGTCCTGGGTTCAGGTAGCCTCATTGTTTTACCAGGCTAGCTAGTTTGTGAATTGATTTTGACTTGGGAGTGCCTTGTCCATCTGTGATTAATTAAAAAAAGGCACATGACACTCTGAGTCAAGGTGACGTCAAAGTGATGGGAGGCACCAGCTTCTTAAGAAAAAGTAAGAAGGTTAATTGAGGACAGAGGTTATAGATGAGTGGCTAATAAAGTGTTTGTTATCCATGTGTTTCCTGTCTTTATTTCAAAATAAAAGTATGATGAGTCACATTTCAGACTTTTTTTAATAATATGCAAATTCATAAGCTTCAAATTAATTCATTTTCTTTGGTGAAACATACAAGCAAATATGATAATTAACCCTAAAATTAATTCCAAGAGATTTTAAACCCTTGTGGCATTTATCCTTAATAGCCATTGACTTCTATTTAAATAAGATTGAGTTGTTCTGTTATGATACGTATTACAGAAACTGAAATGTCAACCTATGCATAGAACGACTCTCTCTCTCCCTCCCCCCCCCTCTCTCTATATATAATTGAGTGGATGTGATTCTACTGAGCTAGGGCTGCAGAAAAACCTTGGTTACATAGGAAAAACCTGGCTAGAGGAAAAACATACACACACACACACACACACACACACTGCTCAAAAAAATAAAGGGAACACAAGCAGAAGACATCCAAGATCTGAATGAATGAAATAGCCTTATTAAATACTTTGTTCATTACATACAGTAGTTTTGTATTCCCTTTAGTTGCTTGAGCAGTGTATAAACTACTGTATGTAAAGAACAAAGTATTTAATAAGGCTATTTCATTCATTCAGATCTCGGATGTCTTCTGCTTGTGTTCCCTTTATTTTTTTGAGATATATATATATGTGTGTGTGTGTGTGTGTGTGTGTGTGTGTGTGTGTGTGTGTCTTCAATGCATTTACCATATGTGATGCCACATATTATTTTATAGCAGCAGGAGAAATTCATCTAATAAATGTTAAAATAGGAATATAATAGGATGGCATAGCCTCTTCATGAAACTTCAATTGTATCATCCCTTTTTCTTGATATTCCAATACACTGTATTGTTCATAAAATACAAGGGAGACACTTTAGGAATATTAAAATGGGAGCTAAGAAGCCTTGGGCCACCTGTAGGAACATCATAGGTAGTTTGGTGAAGACTGATCCGAATATAGTAGTTTTAAAATGTATACATTCTGGAACCTTGTGGCTAAACTCTGATTGGTGACCCCATTTAGGAAGTAGAATTATTCTTATGAACATGTTGGAACATTTAAATTTCTCTTAAACTTTAAATGTAATGTTCAGGTAGGTATCACTGTAAAAGAATTTTTTCATTTGAATTCACCTTTTGAATTTACTAGATTAAATTAAATTAAGCAATATCATTTAGTAATTTAAATTATTAGCTATCACCCCTGCCTCCCCAAACTTTTATTCTTAAAACTGGCACAATAGCTCCTCAGTGTGAAGTCCAATAATGCCATTTTTTAAAGGTGGGACCCAAGAGGTCTACAGAATATGGTGCTGGATTGTATGTGCACTTCCAGGAACTTTTGCACAACTTCAGTTCCCATTGCCCGAACAATGAACTTAGTAGTAGGGTCAACCTTATTGATGGGCTTGTCTGTTCCAAAGACTTTTAGTCAGTTTCTCATCATTAGCTAACATTTCAAAAACTGCCTTGCCTGATTTTCTCTGTTCATATATACATCTACAGCAAATGCTTACCTTAGCCCACCCCCAGCATCTGGACACAAATGAATCATTACTCCCCCCACCCCCAACACACATATACAGAAGCATTCCATTACTGTTAAGAATTCTGGTTGCAGTTGTTGGGAAAAGCTTCTGGTTGCCATGCTACAGTACGATGTCATCATCACAACACTTTCTGAGGCTTTATATGCAGGAAGAATGATAACTTGATATGAAATCCAATAGTGCCCTTGTGACATGGGTGCCATAGTAACCACAGCCCATGTTCTTCTCTATTGCCAGTTCTATAGGGACACTCTGTAGACGATTACCAATTGATTTCCCCTCTTTTATTTAAATTTCCAGGGCACTCTGATAAATTTGTGTTTGCCTTAATTGCTAAACAAACCAGATAAATTTATTTAACAGAACTCTAGTATCTCTGAAAATAATCATATTAGTTAGAAAGCTTTGGAATGTAATTTATTTAAAAAAATCTGATTCTTTTTCCCATGCTAAATTGACTTTATGCGGAAATCCAACATTAAAAATTGGGAGGAGGGGAGAGAATGGTGATCTGGAAAAATTGGATGAAAACAGGAATATTGACTTTGGATCACTTGATAGATGATGGCAATGAATTTTTAAACTGCACTGTGCTAAGAGAAAAATACCATCTATCAGATGTAACTTGGTAGCAACATTTCTAGTTACAACATCTGTTTACAATATTGTTTGGACCAGCAATATTTTTAGCTTCACAAACACCTGAGATACTAAAACAACTGGTTAAATCTTTTAAAAATAAAAAAAACCTCCTATTACTTTCTATGGTTATTTGTTATTTATAAATCAATATTATATGCAGGTGGTAAGAGATGAGTGGAATAAAGAGAGGTTCCTATATTGCTTAGACAAGCTGTGCTTCGAAGAACACTCACACAACTAGCAACCTTGGGCCACCCAACTTTCAAATGTCATCTCTCAATATGGATTCTCCCTCCAATTCCCAGTCCAATCAGCTCTAAAGGCCAAGGAAGCTTTCAAACAAAGAATTATTGATGTGGCTGCCCAAGATGATATTGCAGCACTTAAATGTGTCAAGTCTCTAAAGTGGCTGGCTCAACACAAATCAGCCTCCCAGTTAGAAAAAAATATTTAACAACTTCTCAGACGGGCTTTTTCAGAAGCTCAGTTTGAACAACTGGACTTCATGGTAAGATATGAGAAGTTCATGGAGTCTCAAAGGAAGAAAGTTTGTGCATTTGTGGAGCACCAGCCATTGAGGACACTGGATGCATTCTTGTTGACTGCAGGTTGTACTCTCCACAAAAAGCTGCATATTTAGATCTTTATTTAAAAACTAAAAAAAAATATTGGGAGAAACAGTCTTATTCATGCAGGGAACAAATCTGCACCTCCTCAGTAAGACTACACTCTTCATTTTAAAGACCATCTCAAAGAGGACAGAGTACCTTGGTCAGATTCAAGTTAACTCTAGGGGTGATGATCTATTATGAAGTTTTTTTTATCTATTGTGTTTTTGAATTAGTTTTATATATTTGATACAGTCTTAATTAATAAGGTTCTCTTCTACTACTAGATTATTCTAAAATTTATTTTTTATTCTATTTAAAAGAAATATTTCAAAATATTTTAAATGTATTTATTTATTAAAATCTATTCTACTTTATACTTCTTTCGATTATTTTATCTACTCTTTTAACTTCATTTTATCTTACCTACTGTTTGTAATTGTTTTATCTCACTATAGCTGTTATATATCACTTCAATGTATCTTAGCACATTTTGTATTTTATTGTGACTGATGCTCATGTTTGATATGGTCAATTGACTAATCAATAAACTATATTGTATTGCATATTGCCTAGATGAGGGGAAAGTGTCTTAACTTCTATAACAAGAGTGCCCATGTCCATTATAGAACAAGAAATAATGTTTACAATTTATTGCACTCTTGTATTCCTGTAGAGAAAGGAATTGTTTAGAACAGCACTTTGTTGGAGATGTAATAAGGACAATGCTTCTTTAAAACCTATGTTTTTACAATGTCCTATATTTACTAAGTTTGAGAGAAAGTAGTCAAATGTAAATTATGTGACAAAAGCCAAAATTTTCAAAAAAAATTAATCTCTTGAATTACATAACTAGGACCTGGAATATGACAAGAGACAATGTAAATGGATTCTGCATGCCATTATTATAGCTAAAAGTATGATAGTTCAACATTGGAAAGATAAATGTATATAACTCCACTAATTCAATGGATTGAGGAGCTGATTACATTTCCTATCTATGAGCAGATTGTTGGCAGATGTAGGTTTTGTAGGAATAAATATTAAAAATATAGTTTTAGGTTACAAAAAAACCATGAGTCATATAAGTATAATAGAATATATGTGCATGTTTGGTGTGTGTGTGTGTGTGTGTGTGTGTGTGTATTTTTGTGTTTTGTTCTTTTTGCTTGTTTTCCTTTTCTATTATTATTTTAAAAAGTCCTTAATCCACACTATTGAATTTAAAAAATAAGCAAACTATATTCCTAAAAGTTCAATGTGTTCAAGTTTCAAAAAACAAAACAAAACCCTCCAAATCCAACTAAATCCATACCATCCTTGCAGCACTTGAGGTATAATTGTTGCGGATATTTGCCTTTGTTATTTATCGGCTCAGGATGGCTTAGGCCTCTCCTAATTTCCTCCCCGCAGCAACTTTATGAAGTAAAGCAAGGCGAGAGATTGAGTAGTCTCCCAAGCTCACCCAGTATTCCCATAGGGACTTCAGCCTGGCTCGGCCAGTTCTGCAGGGTGGGGGAGGGGGGGAGAGAAAGTCAAAATGGCAAATATAACTGTGGAATTGAAGTTCTGCTTCTTTTTAATTTTAACATGTGTGTGACTTTTTTAAAAAAATCTTCCTTACAGTTATCCCTGACCTGGCTCTCCTGGTTGAAGTCCAATCACTTAAAACACTACACTAAACTATCTTTCCATGTATCGTAAAAGTAGGAGGGATTAGATCAGGGGTGAAATCTAAAATTTGTTACTACCGGTTCTGTGGGCGTGGCTTGGTGGGGGGGTGTAATGTGACTGGGTGGGCGTGGCCACCTTTTTTTTCTTTTAAAAGCATTTTTTCTACAACCTTAAGAGGTTGCAGAAAAAAATGCTTTGAAAAGCCTCTGACGATCCCAGCTGAGCCGCATGATCATCAGAGGCTTTTTTTTTTAACTTTTAAAGGCATTTTTTCGTCGGAAGAGGTTGTAGAAAAAATGCTTTTAAAAGTAAAAAAACAGCCTCTGATGATCGTACAGCTCAGCTGGGCATGGGGGTGCGCAGGGATTTTTGCTACTGGTTCTCCGAACCACCCGCCTCCATCACTACTGGATCGGGTGATTCAGTCCGAACCGGGAGCATTTCACCCCTGGATTAGATCTGTTTGTAAGGAGTTGTCTTCAGACATTCTGAAGAGAGAAAAGAAGTTGCTTTTGCTTTAGCTTTTTAAAGGCTTAATTGCATTGCGGTGGCTTGAATTCAATTGCTTTAATGAATTAAAGACTAGAAAGGGATAGGATGGTTCTGAAAAAATAGGGTTAATTTCTGCAAAATACCCTGGAGAACCAGGAATAAGTGAGATACACTGGCCAATGAATGACCCAGCATGCAACATTCTGTTTCTGGAACTTCATTGAAGTGGGTTGCTTGTCCCTGACTATCTCAGGTGTATGATTATCTGCCTGCTGAACCACATTTCCAATTGCACACACTGTGAAATAGCGCTTGCTTCTTGGGGAATAAGTTGTTGCTGTGGAGAAATTGGGGGGGGGGAGAATCTGGTGGATAAATGGAAGTAATCGTGATGTCTCCCTCTCAGGGCATTACCTTCTCTCCTTGTATAGGGAAAGGTCTCAAGGAAAGAAAATGTCACACCAAGGAAGAGAGGAGTGATTCTTTTGAAGTGATGCCTTCCTTGCAGGATGAATACATTCTTCAGATGCCCAGGATTTCACTTTTGGAAGTGGAGGACTGGTGGGTAATTTGACACTCAGAGACAGAGATATCTAGGTCTGTGATCAGTATGTAGATCTCATTTAACTTACCACCTGGTAGAAAAACTATATATCATGTCTTCTGTAAATAGCCTGGGACATAGAACCAGGGCTGAACTCAGCTGTCAAGCTGTAAAAGAATTCTGTCACAAATTCTTCTGGACTTGACCTCGGATTTTGCACTGGGATAAACCATCAAAAATCCAAGAATGGTATTTGAAAAATATGTATTACTTACTAGGGGTGACCTCCAAATTGTACAGCAGTACAAAGGAGGAATTAGATGGAATAAAAACACTCAGTTTCACTCACTAAGGATAGCCTTACTGAATGACTATCCCTTTGTGGAATTTAGGATTGTGATTGAGTGATGTACCTGATCTTTGTGAAGCCCTTGTTTTAGGGGAGATGATATAACCAGGGAGAGTTGAAGTTGTTAAGGTGGCCATCTAATGGTTGCAGGCAATACATGGTAACTCAAGCAAAGGGTAAGGTAGCAAAATCTTTTGAATGGGACATTTATAGGCCAAAATTAACCTAGAAATTAAAATCCTAACCTAGAAAGAGGTGTGGATTAATTAGGAAGATCATCTAAATATAGTTTTTACTACTAGAATCTTTTATTTTAAGGAAGTAGGTGAAGTATTCTCCCATTCATACCAATAGCTATAGTCTGCAGTTAACAGTTCAATGGAAAATTTTCAACTTCAAAAAAACAGTTCTCTTCTGTCATGAATTAGAAAAGAGACTGATCTAAATTGAGTGTGCCATAAATTATTATTCTTGTGCCCTGAACAGAATCCTAAGCCTATTTCACCCAGTTGATTTGTAAGTGAATGAAGGCACACGGTGAAAAATAAAAAATATTGCAATTTTCATGGGATGTGTTTTCACAATAAATCTCAAACAAATGTGCAGAGAGTTTAACCAAACCAAGAAAATTTAAAAAGGGAATAAATTGCCATGAATAGGTCAATTTTCTGAATATTGTTCCTTGCTCTAAAGGTGAAATTGATTAATGCTACTGGAAAGTTTGTAGATCTGATCTGGTAGCCCAACCTGATATTTATCTC